AAATTGTTAGTGAAATCTATTTTATATTTTGATGGCATTTGCTTCTTTTGAGTAGCCTTGTTAAAGCTAAATCTAAATCTGAAAATTGAAAATTTTGACCTAGGTAGTGGTAAAAGTAATCCTCAGTCACTTGAACGGACAAATATTGGGGTGAGCACTGACTGAAATGAGTGCAACGGTCGGATGTAGTTTGGTGTGTGTATAGGCCTATGTGTGCGTTTAAAAAAAATCAACTAATACAGTTTTCTTTTACACAAGTTAGCACTGCCGGAATATTTATATAGTGTAAATCAAAGACTTCCTATATAAGTGGGTCACAAAAAAGAGAAACTCTCTTAACTGTGTGATGAACCTTAGGCTACGTTATTACCCAATAGGTACCTATCATGAATTAGTTTGTGTTTTGGTGGTAGAGCCTAACTTATCTACAGTTCCTAAGAGAACCTGCGATATATTATCGGACGGTATATATATCTGATTTGATATTAATATTGCAAAACCAATTCACCAAATCTGCAAATCATAACTCAATTTGATGTTTACATAGTGAAAAAACATAGGGAACGATGTATTGAATCGGATAATTATTGATATATAATGTTATTTATCCGATAATATATCGCAGGTTCTCTGCGGAACTGTACCCGTTATGGCAAAAAAGACATACACAGTCATGGCGAATCAAACAGAAAAATTGAAGAAATAAAAACACCTAAGATTGAAACTTTATTTTAACTTATTTTAACTTTGAGAAAACCTAATTGAAATATATGTATGTCTACCTATTATTAATGTCTGATTGTAAATAAAAAGAAAAACTTACGCAAGATAGCTGGCTTCAGATGCAGATTGCAAAAGAAAAATTTATTCCTCCTTCCCAGCCTACAGGCTGCTAGACAGCCACTTTGTCACTCGGGAGAATTGGTACCATAGGCAAATTATTCACTGCTACCAAATAATAACTTCCACCAAAGCTGCAGAGTTATCAACTGAAACAATGGAGAGAAAACTACTTTTAGTTAAATTCATGCATACCTTTCTCTGGCCTAAATATGTATCAAGATTAGTTAGGCCTAATCATTGGTTGGTAAAGGAAGCAGACAACAACTAAAATACAAAAGACTAAGAGACAATACAGGGGTAGACTTTCGTATCTGTTGTCAAAAACAACCGAATGAAAATATCGATCGTTATAGCCTATGTTCATTCAGTTGTTTTTGACAACAGATACGGAAGTGTACCCCAATTCAGTTTAAAAGGAAAATGGATTTCAAATAGGCTAGGCTATTTCTTTTATAATACCGGTAAATTGTAACCTGGTTGAGGTAGAATATGTTAGGCCTAGGCTAGCCTAAATTAAGTTAACTTATTCTTGATGGTGAATTTACATAAACTTAAGTTAAGCTGGGTTTTCCTAGACGCGGAGTCGGCCAGCGGAGAGCGGACAACGGAGAGCGGACTCAGCTTGTCTTAGGTAATTTAATGTTACTGTTTTCCTAGCAGCGGAGCGGAATGCCATGTTAATTTCAATTCCGCTCTCCGTTGTCCGCTCTCCGCTGGCCGACTCCGCGTCTAGGAAAACCCAGCTTTAGTGACTGACGTAAAATATAACCCACATAACTTAGTAATATTTCAAAATTAGCCTAACAAGGTATTACAACACAGTATGGTATTCCATTTGCCTTGTAAACCAGTAAGTTAGTCCTACTTACGGCTGCACTTTACTTGACGTCCTACACTCATTCGAATGAAAATATCGATCGATATATCGATTAATCGATTGCTTCATTCGATATATCGTTTGGTTAGTTAGGTAAGGTTAACCTAACCTAACTAACCAAACGATATATCGAATGAAAGAATCGAATGAAATATCGAATCGAAAAAACCAATCGAATGAGTGTAGGACGTTAAGTAAAGTGCAGCCCTACTTACTAGCCTATATATTGAACACTATTTTCATCCAGAAGTTGCCCTTTGAAGCTAAATAAACTACTGGTTCAGTAAGAACTAAGCAAGCCGCCTAACTTAATTGCTTACGCCTAGGCCTAATTAGTATGCAGAAAAATACTTCCTCTAAAACAGATTGCCTATTTTGAGGTTTCAGATTTATCTATTTATACTTAAGTTAAGGCATTAGGAATGATAAGTTGGCCAATTTAATTTGTACAGTAGCTTAACTTAGGTCTAGGTAAGGCCAAGGCCTAAAATACGTCTATGTTACTAGGTATAGTGACTTATACTTACATACTCCAAGGATCAAAACGTGAAAAGATGTTCGGTGTAGGTTATGACAATACCCAGTCACAAAAATAACAACTCTAAACTAACAGTGACACACACTAAACAAAATATCAGCACACTTAAGTTAACTGATTTGAGGTTATGTCTTGTTCTTGAATCTTGATACTCTTGTTGCTTCCATAGTTTATTTTCACTACTTGTGTAGCCTACTCAACAAGTTAGTTGTCATAGGTACATTTTACATAAATCGTGTACTTTCCCTCAAAATGGGCAATTTGTTGGTTAATAAATAAATAAATCCACACCGTGAGTAAACTGGCCACCACTGGTCGCGTGACGGATTTTGTAATTTGTTTTGTATTGTAATGTTTTGTTTTGTTTGCTGAGTTAGGTTAGAATTAAGTTGGTCAGTTGGTGTTTTGTCTTCAGTCTTCCTCTCTTCCTTTCATACGAATGGGCCAAGTCAAGCTCAAACTAGATACTTAACATATTTTTAGAGTTGTATTACACTTAAAAAAATTTAAATTTACGTTTGGTTTAATTTACTAGTAAAAATAAAATGATAAGGCCAATCGTTAAGAGTTTGACTTTTTTATTAATAAACAAAACATTTAAAAAAGCTGTGTTTCCTATTCACTCTTCTTGAAATGTGTAGTAAGCCTAGATTCAGAAAAATATCAGATGTTCCGACAACTCCCCCCCCCCGCGAAAAGTCAAAATCCATCATCAATTAATTAAAAATTACAGTGTTCAGTGTTCCTTCCTATTATTAATTATTTTGAGATAATTGACCTCCGACCTCCATGTTACAAACTGGGGCCCATTTTATAATAAAGTACAAACTAATATTATTAGTAAATCAGCTGATTGCCCAATGCAAATCTAATGGAAATAACAAGTTACAAGTTGTAACTTGTAACTTGTAGTTTATTATGAAATGGGCCCCTGTAGGCTGGAGACTAATTCTTTACTCTAAAAAATTTAAAAAGTTAAATCTTAAATTTTTTTAAACTAGTATATTTGGAAATTTTCAAAGAGAAAATCAAATTTTTAACATTAAGAATATTTAGATAATATTCTAAATTTGATGTTATTTGACTTTGATATTTTGAAGACACAATAAATATTCAAAGTTTGACATTGTTTGACTTTGACATTTTGAACATTAAATGAATATCAAATAAATATCAAATTTTTGATTTGACATAGTTTGATATATTGAACGTTTATTTGATATCAAATAAATATTCTGTGCTATGTGGGTATCCTCCATAGTACGTAGTTTTCAAAACAAACAGAAGCTTGTCTCAACATTAAACCCCCACCCATCCCTCCTCCTTCCTCAGTCATTGTTTGGAGAAACCTTGGAGCGAGGAGAAACCTCTATAAAAAGAATAACAGCAGCATTAAACCTCGATAAAACGAACCTCTTTATTAAGAATACCTCTATAGTACAAATTTTTCCCGTACACCTTGAAATTCGTCTTATAGAGGTTCAACTGTAAAACATTCCTCACACTGCTAACACTTAACAAAACTTCTCAAATGTTATTAAAATAATTAAAGTAATATTTACATTTGAAGAATTAATTAAATAAGAACGCCTTCGCAAAGGAAACGCAACTACAACACGCTCCTGTATTGTGGCTATTGCATTGACTTTCTGCAGGCGTTTTATTTTTTATTATTTTTTTTTTTATTCTCGTCTCAATAAAAATCTTGGCCAAAAAGAAATCTCGTCTTGTGTAACGAGATTTAAAATTTCCCGAAATTTCGAGACTTGACCATCCCTAAGGATAACATTGCACAACGTACGGTATTTAGCACTTAAAATATCTCTGGAACGGCTGGACATAGAATCACAATTTGAACACCAAAATGATTGTTTTGTAGACCTGAACTGATTTTTGAAAAAAATGTGAAGTTTTCAGTAAAATTTGCTGAGGAAAAGAAAAAACCTTAAAGCTCCGCTAACATTGTGCTTTCTTGCGGACGTTCGCCAAACTACATGCGAACTGGATATTTGGTGCGCCTGAAGAGCAAAGACTATTTCCCTACCCCATGTCACGTCTTATAGGTTTTAGTAGTCTAGTCATTGATAGTAGTGCCAGATGCCAGGGCATTTGACTAGTGATGGTTGTGTAGGAAAATGCTCTGATCCTGGCTCACTCAAAAAGTATCAAACATAAAGTCAAACTCTGAAATCAGTTTCAAACATGTGATAAATTGTTTATTTAGTTTGTAATTCTTGTTTGCCATTTTTAATGGCACTTGCACTTAATGATTGTATATATTTAAGATTAAGTGTTGTCGTTAACATGAAACTCTTTTTAGATTTAAATCATTTAGTTGATCCAGGTACGTACCTCAATAGACTCAGTTGTCCTTTTGCGGCATGTGTTCTACTAACTAAGACCTTTAATGTGATGGCAAACTCGACCTATTCCGCTATTTAAGAATTTTGTCTGACTCCTTGTTTGTGGGCCGTCCCCTTTAACCGTTAAAAAAGTGATAATAGCTTAAAAGAGTAGACATTTATAGCTTTTATTGATATACCAAGTCTCATTACTGTATCTATATTGGTAAAAATACATTAAGCCGTTCCAGGACTTTTCTACCACAACATACAGTGATAACAGTAGGATAATAAAAAAAATAAATAAAGATAGCAGTAATACAAAAATAAATAATATGTGATTAATCATATTTAATTCCCTACATTCATAATTACAACATGAATTCTAACCATGTTTTAGGTTATACAAGATATGGGGTATGATACAATAAACAAAATATTCCTTGTGTATGACACACAATGGTGGCCAAGCCACTTTAAAGGGATACAGTTGATTTGGGACAGTGAAGAGAAAGAAGATCAAGGATATCAGGTAAAAAACTAACCTACAGTTCTTAGGTATAAATAACTAATTACATTGTCAGTGCCCGTATCCTCTATGGTTTGTTAGATGAGTCCAATATAGATTATTATTGCTTATGTATTTAATATACATTATTTTCTATTGCTACTGTAATTCAGAAATGTATAGTGAACCAATCATTCGTTAGCCTATCTTGTTTCTATTGGTTATAAAAATATTTTTATTTTCATGTTTTAATGTCTGAGGTAATTTTTCATTTAAAAAATCCTTTAATAGGCTAAGCTTGACCCATTGTTGGTTAGACCAATACATTGTTGGTTAGACTAGACAATATAAGTGTAAAAATGTTTAATAGGCTACCAGAAAATGCTCGACAAATGTGTTTTAGCATAAAAAGCACTCTTTACAGGTTTTTAGTAGGCTATCTAGGCCATTTTATAAAATGAAAGAATTTTGTGAGGTACCTGTAATTAGTTCAACCTGCAAATTGAAGACGAAATAATAAAAGATGTTTAATGCCCTAACACAGTAACATTCCTTCACATCAGAACAAATAAAAATCTAGTAAATATTATTCTCTCCATGACAACAAGAATCAATACAAATCATCCAAATTTAAACAAATAAAAATGTTTAAAATTTCAAACAGGTGATAACTAATTTATATTACAAGCACACACCCCCGTGGTGTCAACACCAGCATGACGGACATCAGCAATATGGTGTGGCATACCATCAACCTCTACGCTTGTTTCATGCAAAAAAGGTTGACATTGCAGTCAATGACATGGCTCGGATTGTAACTGGGTGTTTGAAACCAACACCAGTACACAAACTCTATCCTATCACAGGGATTGCCCCTCCATCAATCCGACGTGATGTCGCTGCCGAAGCAGAAAGGACTAAGCAAGAGACCGACCCTCGTCACCCATTACACGGCCACCAACCTGCAGAGCGACGGCTTCGGTCCAGAAAGAGCTTTTTATCACAGACACGAGTCCTGGATGGATCACTCTCAAGCAGTCGGGTGGCAAAGTGGGAGGCCACGTTGATTAACCCTCCCATACTAGCCAGGGAGGAACTGGCTCCTGGTGGAGGCCTTCATTACACGGTGTGGAAGACCCTAAATCGAATCAGGGTTGAGGTACCAAAATGCAAGTCAAACATGCAGAAATGGGGTCTCTTACCAGACGAAGAAAACATCTTGTGCGCGTGTGGTGCTGTTCAGGATCCTGGCCATCTGCTGATCTGCCCACGCCTAGACCAGTCTTGCACATTAGATGATCTTTTACAAGCGAATGACAAAGCCATATCGGTAGCTAATTTTTGGAGAAGCGAAGTATGATTTCCGGACACGGAAAGTAAGTAAGTAGGCTACGCTTGTTTGTGAGAGCTGCCGTGAGACCACACCAGGCTTCCATCTCGTGGTACAGAGAGAGTTTTTAGGCTTGACAAACAGAGATTCATCAGGTGAAAACTCAGTCCTTAGTTGCTTATCACAATTTACAGGTTCGCCCTTACACCTCCACCAGTAGCAGAACAATTTAAGCTTGGTGCCGACTCTTCATACATATCTTCTTTTGGTGTCGGTTTCTTGGTTTCTTTCAACGATTCCATTGCCGGTCGGATGGTTCACACACCTAAAACGACGGATAACCCTCCATTCCTCACACTGTTCACATCTGAATGTTGCGCTATTGTCCATTAATAGTCTTGGGGTGGACCTCGTTCTCAAAACAACTAAAGTAAGACTCTTACTACCAGTTCTTTAGTCTAACTTGGGATCCGTCGCCAAATGCAAAACCGACTCAAACTAGGAAGGTATGGGGGTTTAGTGAGTGGGAGAAACTTTCGCGCCGTTCCAGCCAAACCCTGCATGCGGGGTTGGTTCGGCAGATTGGCCACACCTAAACCCCAACTCTCACTTGTTAGCTACAGAGAGCTACCTTCTGCCACTGGGTGTTGGTCCACCTACAGAACCAAGTGAGAGGGGCCCTAGACTAAGGTGTAATGCGATCCGTGCCAAGAGTCTAGTGGCACTTGGGGCCTAATATTCAGTGTCTTAACGGAGCCTTCTGGGAACCAGGGGGAACCTAGTCGTATGCACCCCTTACCTCTCTAATCGGGTCACTGGGGAGGCTGGACCTTAGATACCCGGAATTCGTGGGAACAACATAGACGATCTGACCCCAATGGAGGAGGAAGGTCTACTGAAATCTGACGATGACGACAAGCTCGCAGAAACCGGAAAGGAACGAGAAAAAAAAAACAACTTTCCAGGGGCGAATTGCGAAGACGGACGATAGCGGATGCTTTAGCCAAAGGCCAAAAGGTGCCATCCAGAAGTGAGAGGAGGCTGGTGTGGGCTGCCAAGCACCCTAAATCTGCTCCCTGCCAAGCCAGTTCCTCTGGGAACCAGGAGGCTGGGAAAAAAAGCAGGGCAAGTGCGGCACCCCCAAAGCTAACTCTAATGAAGCCTCCAGGAAGAAAGGTGGAAAGAGGGGGCGAGCGTACCTGACACATGAGGATGTCTGGGGCGAGAAAAAGAAGACGAGGACGGAAGAGGGAGAGGGCTCGGGTGTTTCACAGAGAGCACCAGAACCCACCTATTCGGAGACACTGTCTGTGGAGAAGATGGCTATCGCCAAATCTGTACACCCGGACAGGAAACGGACGGAGGCTAAAGCCAATAAAATCAAGGGGGAGCTGTCCAGTGGGTCATTCGTGGCAAAGACGTCAGGATAAGCAGCTGCCATCTTGAAGGCTGAGCCTTGGTAGTTGGTTGTGCTAACGCAACCACAAAGGGTTGGCTGGTCAAGCAAGTTCAGGAGCTGAGTCCTTTCAGGAAAATCTCGCTACAGCTTGCCCCAGCCAGAGACCTTGTGAAACCTGTGAAGGTATATTTATGTACCCAGCCCTACAAGGTCTGCGTATGAGATCCCTTGGCCTATTGACGGGAGATCAAAGGGAAGAACAGGTTACCATAGTCAAAAGGTTCTAACGGGTCACTAAGGACCTGGGATTTGACGGAGAATGAGGACCTGTGAATGAGGGTGTACAATAAGCTGTTTTAGCTGCGATGCAAACCCATGGTCAATTGTAAGCCTGGCCCTCTGTTAAAAAAAAAAATAAATAAATAAAAAAGACTCGGACCTCAATCTATGATTGTAAGAAATCTATATGACCCATAGTGAGTCACATCAATCACAAGCCTGTGCCAATTCTTGTCGCATTCCAAGTGCCCCAGCTTCCATTTGAGGGGGGAAGGATCAACAGATAAACATTCCTTGTATGATTTCACTACGCAGTCAACGTCCTGTTTGCTAAACTCAACGTCCGGGTAACAATGTCTGACTGTGAAAAGAGTCTGATTAACACCAAAGCGATGCAGACCATGGATTCTTTAGACCAACTTTTGTTTATCTCCATTCTCTTCTTCACCCATCATTGCAATACTGGTCTTTTCCTCCTCTCTTGCAAACCCCTTTTTAGGAACTCTTTTCAGGCGATCTGCTTTGTTAAATTGCGATGTAACGAGATCCATCCTCACCTTAAGGCCGCATTCTGATATGAGATCTTTAAACAAACCCAACTGTCGTCTTACAAGAGCTTCACCCATTCCATGTGTTTTAATACGTCGGTCTCATGTTTATATGGATGTTACCCAAGGATAAACGGTGGCCAAATCTGACACTAAGTTTAACTCTTTCATATTTCATTTCATCTTAACTAAAAACTGTTTTCTGTTAAAATACTATAGGCTATAGCTTTTCACATGTTTATCGTTCGTGTCTTTAGCGAATTTCCCTATAGGGAAGTAGTTTATTACCGTAGGTGGCAAGGTAAGACCTAGACCCGGGATCGATTTACTTTTTCATTTTGCTGTCCCCAGAGGCCAAAAACACCATTCGTTCAAATTTTTATCTATAATATTAAAACGAAACAGTGTTTTTTTATTTCACGATTCTGAATCAACCACTCGACGGATTTTCATGATTTTTGTGTTGAAAGAAAGATAATTTTGAGAACTAGGGAATGTCAAAGCCATAATTTTAGTTTAGGGCCCCAGTTTTTTAGAAATTAAGTTTGAATTTTTTTTAAGTCTAGCAGCCGACGCTAAGATTCTAAACTAGCTTTTCGCATAAAATAATTTGCTTAACATAACAGCTGTAAACATTCAGCTTTTGTGTCACAAATTCAGCATTTGAATAAAAATGTAAAGACATACTTAGGGCTGACTTATTTATACTATGTGTAATGCTAATCATTGATACGTTCAATTCTTCTGTAAGAGGATGACAGATTAATTAAATATACATAGTAAAATACTAGGATGTTCAAATTATTTTTTTAAAGCAATCTTTGTAAACTTCGATTTGTTTTAGAGCAATATAATTTGTTTTAACTAACAGCTGGTTAAATATAAACTATGGAACTATGAGGTTATTTTATTTACTCTTATTTTGTCATTGATTATAGCAAATAAGTAAGATTAGTAGAGATAGTTAGACCACAGTTTAAAATACCGTAGTTTAGACCAAAATTAATTAAACCACAGTACAAATTGAGGCTCTGTACACGAATCTTAATAAAAAAGGATAAATGCAAATTATTTTACTTCTCCACCTTTCAAGGAAAGAATAGAAAAATAACAATGTGTACATGTTTTAATTCTTCATGGTAGCTTTTTGTTTACAATTAAAGTTTGTCTGCTTTAACTTTGTTTGGATTAGGCCCGGAAATATTGATGTCATAAAAAGAAGATCAAGAATAATCAGGAATCACGATTTTAAATTACCACCACAACCTCAGCCGGGTTTTATACAAAGATAAGCAGATGGATGACATAGATTGAACACAACGTCAACATTGACCTAGGATACTGCAATTAGACAAACCATCCTTTTATGATATCGTTTTCAGTTGTGGTTACATTTGGGGGTACCTATATCAGCGCCCCCAAACGTGAAAATATCACTTTAATTTCAACTATGAATATATTGTAGTTTAAATTAACTAATATGGGAAATTACGATGTACATTTATTCAATGAGGGTGGGTAATTATCAAGGATAAAACTGATAACGGTATGGATAATAAACATTGACAATTACGACAAAACAGCTTTACTAGCGTGTTTACTTTTTATATTCCTGCCATATGTGACCAGTTCTTTTTTTCAAATGAATGTTATTTGAACCAAACAGCTGTTTCAAAACAAACTGTTATTGTTTTTACTTTTCTTTGTTTACACTTATTTATTTAGCAATTAATGCAGTGAAATTGATATAAACATAGGTGTGACAATTAGTTTTGATGTTAGGACACAAAAGTTAAATTATGTGTCCTGTGAATTTTATTGGATATTATCGTTTTATTTTAGGTCGTTTCTATTCAGACCTACTGGAAATTGTGTATAGTAGTTGTATTGTGGTGATAATAATCATGGAAGAGGCAGGTATGCTATAGAAGGTGGTATCGTTGACTAGGTCTATACACTTCTCAATTGACTATTACTCTATCTACTGTAGGCTACTTATAATCAGTGTGCGTCTGTGCGAATCGGCTGCAAATCTCACTTCAACGCTTTTCACATCGTAAAAATTGCAGAATTGCTGTTTTATTGTAAAATTATCGGATTTAAAATGCATATCTTATAGGCCTATGATGGAATAAAAACATATTTGGTCACACAACATTTGTTTACAAGATGATTTTTCACATTAAAACTGCAAGAAACTTTGTCTTTATAGGCTATGTGTAAACTAGCTGATCTGAATTGTACACGGTTTTAACTGACTACTGAATTCCCGTACGTAGGACGGGCTAACACCTTGTATAAGTATATATAGTTTATATATATATACACGTCCGTGAACGCAATAACTTCAGTATTTTGTTTTTTATTTTGATGAAATTTGGTTTACAGGTGTAAGGCGGAATAAACTTAAATGAGTTTGCGAACTAGCATGATCGTACCATGGGAACAGGGTTTTTGGGGGTTTTAGGGGGTAAAAAATTGTTTTTCTAATTGTTGACCCTCAAAACACAAAATTTCCTAATTTCTCTCTAAACCTTTTTAAAGAGCTTAAAAAACCAATAATTTAGTATATCAAAGTGGTTTTGTACGGTTATTGGTAACGGAGAAAGTTCAAAAAATTGTAAATTTCAAATTCCCATGTTATTTTTATGGAGAATATTGTAAAATGTTGTAGTTTGCTTGTTTATATTATGTTATTAATATAAAAAAAAATACACCTAATTAGTTGCTTTGTAGCAGCAAACCTAGGTACTCATTAAACCTATTTTTTTTTTAATAGATTAAAAAAATTAATAATAAATAATTAAAATATTTTTTTTAAATTAATTCAGACAAATAGAAATTCTCTTAGTCAGCAGGTTTGCTATGGCGGGGGTATAATGTGTATAGTATTTGCAGCTTAAATGTTTCTACTTAAATCTAGTAAACCAAAAATGTCTATTTACTATGTACCTCTTACTGTATGCAATATTTCATCAATCGAAATCAATCAAGAAATTTATTTACACAATAATTACCAATACATAGATTACAAAAGTACAAAAACCACAAATGGTTTGTCTGCACTAAAAATATTGTTTCTTATTATAATTGTTCCATACAGTTTTGTCAGTTTAAATAGCATGCAGTTTTAAGAGTCCTTAATTGTCTCTTGAGTGATTAACACTTAAAGTGCCGTTGACATGTTTGAACATGAAAATTGCATTTATTTCAATGTTAAGCAATGGCGGGAATTCCCGTCATCAGCACCCAACGTGTTAATAACAAAAAAATACAACAAAGACACAAATATCTGTAAAAACTCAATGTAGTTCAATGTAGTCATGTAGCCTAACTTAACTTAACAATCTGACATGGTCTATAACTGTATTATTGTTCAACTGACGAAATAAAGAATCTTGTATCTTGTATCAAACCTTTCTTGGCACAAGACATTATAATTTGTTTCTATACTTAGTTATCATCACTGTTAGTTACTTACTAAGCTGGTTTATAGGACAATGTGACCTGTGTGTTTCAGTCTTGGTTGAGACATGTATCTGGGTTTGACGTGGTTACCACTCTACAAGGTGTGTTGTTGGGTTGGGTTGGCGGAGAGGCCGCAATGCAGATGGAGACTCAATCAGATCAAGACATTGCCCAACTCTGCACATCAGTCATCAGAAAGTTCATGAACCAACAAGACATTCCTGCTCCTGCTCACATATTTAGGTGTATTTAAATGCATTTATTCCATAATATAATTTGGTTTTTGTTGGGATTGATAGAAGTTCTTTGTGAAGAAACTGCATCCCCTCACTGCTCTTTTTAATAAATTTGTTTTCTTTACCTTCTAATGTCATCCACAAAAGTAAAACATAGGGAATAGAAAACGCAAACACAAGGGGAGTGGTTCGGGTGAATTCCTTGAGAGTTGTATCTCTTGCCTGGCATTAAGTTGCTGTGTTTTTAATCATCCTCAATATGTGTGTCCAACAAAAACCTACAGTAGACTCCCTCTTAGCTGGACACTTTTTAACCGGACATCGGTTTAACCCTCCGAGTGTCCATAGTTTAGGCCTTAATGTCCGCCTATTTTTGGCGCATTTGCAAGGTTTTATTCAAACGGATCTGAGAAGCTTAAAACAATGTTAATTCTACTGTTCTATATACCATTTTGTTTGGAAAATCATGGGCTTCAATATTATACATAAAACATAAGGAACATTTGTTTCAAAAAAATTTTTAGGTAAAAAAAATATTTTGGAAAATTTTCAAAAAAAAAATAAGTTCGCGCTCAATAAAATTGTATAAATTATAGGCCTATAAATATTTGAAAATAGCCACTTTGTTCTAAATTTTATGAGGATTACAAATATATAATAATATAAGGAAGTAGATTTGCAAATAAATAAGTTATGGGCAAAAAACAGATTTCAGTACATAGCGTTTAGCTAAGAATGCATAGCCTAACCATAGCTAGGAATCTGGCTGATAATTTACATCAATATCACTACCTACTTCTTCAGGATCATCAACCAGCCCTTCAAAATCACTTAAATCTTCTTATAATGCACAACGTATATCACTACTTTTGATTTTTAACACTAAAACAATGATAAACGTAATAAAACACATCAGTCATCGGTCCGAGGGTAACCTAGCTGTTTACAAATACGCACGTCAGCTGTCTGCTACAATTACGATCGGCTCGGAGAACATAAAGCGCTTAGAGACAGACCTCTGGAGAAAGCTTAGAATATAACGAAAAGAACGATACCTAACTCGATCCAGTTCAATCTGATTCAGTCAGTCATAGAGCCTTCGCCGTAAACGATGTTCGTGTGTCGAAAAATCGACACGTGACACTACACAAAGTGTGTCGTGAGTCGATTTTTCGACGAGTGACGCTCGGAGGGTTAACCGGACTACACTCGGGGGAAATGACATCTCTTTAACCGGACAATTTTTATCACCACATCGATTTAAACGGACTAGATCGGCAGATCGGACTAGATTCACCCTGCATAAAACACTCAAAACAAAATGGTCTTTACTGAAAGAACCAAATTTATAATTTTTTGGGTCCAAAGGCTATTCCGCCCTGGACTAAGGTCTAGCATTAAATTTAATCATGGAATCCTACTCCCAGGGTTGTTCCACCCCGTATCTTAATACTCAATACGAACGAATAGTCTTAACTGAAAAAGAAAAAACCAATTAAGTAACGTTTATGATTCCAAGGGATTATCGAGTGTATGTGCGTTTGCCCTGGCCTAACACATATCGGCCAGGGGTCCAGGTCTTACCATAAGACTGTGACATACTTTTCCACACTGTAACATAAAACACCAGTTTAATATGCAAGGTTCAAGTACCACACACTATACAGCACTTAGTTTCCAGATAGGCCTCAGTTCAGAGATTTGGGTTGGCCTTCAAGGGTTCGTGAATAGATTTTCAATTCACACTTGTTGTAATAAACTGATTTTATTAGTAAGATAAAAGAAATGTAAGAACTGTTAGAGAACCATTTAATAGACTAATAGTTTGTTTTCATAACAACTTAAACAAACAAACATTACAATAATAAGAATTCCATATACAGCTGTTACAGGACTGAGTAAATAATTTTTTATCTCAACACTTCCCCTAAAAAATGACACTTTACTCAGACAAGAAAACTGCTGCTCATGTATCCTTACATCTTGAAGTATTCTCTTGAGCCACACTGCTTCCCCTACAGTACAGCCAAACTTGCAGCAATCTGCAGCAATCAACTCAAATTCTGTAGTTGACAAAGCTACACATTTCTGATGTTTACATTTCTGGTGTCAGAACACTGGACTAAGCACCTTTATTTCCTCATCCATCTCCTTGACCCAATGATGAGAATCCTTGCATGTCACCGCTTCCTTGCACTTAGTAGGTTCTGCAACACATGTCAGAAGGGCACAATCAGCAAGTTTCACAGGAGGCTTCAATTTTGATCTGTCTCTGAAACTGTACCTCTGTCCTTCTTCGTCTGGTAAACTTGCAGTTGTTGAAGAGTTGGTTTCAGTTGTAGAAAACTTGTTGTTTTGTTCCACAGGCTCCCTGAAGTCAACAAAATATCGATTGCCACCAACTGATAACACAGGCATTGAGCCACAAACATCAGCATTTATGCGATCACCAGGTTGATTAACAAGTTCTTTGCGAGTACCAAAACTCAACCGATGCATTTTGCCAACAATACAAGCATCACATATCTCAGACTTAGTACCTGAATTTGAGAATTCAATACCATTTTTCTTTAGGTTGGTCAAAACATAACGCTTATTTTGATGCCCTAATCTCTCATGCCACAGTTGTAAATCATCTCTCAAAGCAACTTGAGCTTCAGCATCTTTAATAGGAATAACTTTCATATTCATAATGAAAAATCCATTCTTTCTATGTGATTGAGCAACCAAAACACCATTCTTGAAAAAATTACATTTGTCCTTGCTGAAAGTAGAAAATATACCTTTGTCCAACGTAGAGGAAATTGAAAATAAGTTCTTGCCTACTTCAGGAACATACCAAACATCTTCCAAATGATTTCTCTGGCATTTTCCTCCCACAATCATCTCTACAATTATGTTTCCCTTGCCGAGTGCTTCCATGGTTTGACCATTTCCAACTCCAACATGCTTAACTGTTGAAAATGCCTCGTACGTCACAAACCATGATCTGTTCATTGTCATGTGCTTCGTAGCTCCAGAATCTACAATCCAATTACATTCTTCGGTACATACTTGTGAGCGACCACAATGTCCAACAAAAGCACTTCCAGGTTTTAGTGACTGTTTGACATTAGGACAATCCCTCTTCATGTGACCAAGCTGGTTACATGAAAAGCATTTAGGTCTCCATTTCTTTTTCTTATTTTCAGCTCCAACATCACTGACGGTAATTATGCTTGATGTTGATTTCACACGGTTAGAGTTAGGTTGTGAGAAAGTTTTATGTTTTGAACCAGTATAAAATGCAGCATTAGACTCCTTTACACTTCCACCTTCTCGCTACTTCATCCTCATTTCAACCGTACACAGTCTCTCTCTCAATAATGACAGTGTCCTCTGATCCTTCGGTACAGACTCCCAAGCGTTAATGAATTCACTATATTCACAGGGCAACGTATTCAACACCCTATTTAGGAATAATGAATCAGGAAGCTTAACTTTATCTTCTTTCCAAGTTTCGTCCTGTAGCTCAACCCAAAGTTTTTCCAGCTTTGCTATGTGTTTTGCTACACTGTCATGTGAGTCCTTTTCCTTAATTCCAAAGAATTCATTAAACAGACGGTCTTGTCTCTGTTCAGTTCTCTGTTCAAAAATACTCAAAAGTTTCCCCCACATTTCCTGTGCAGTTGAACACATATTTATAAGCTGTCTTACTTGACTGCTAACAGATGAAACAATGATATTCTGTGCCGAAAATTCTTTCTTTTCAAGTACAGCAACCTGTTTCTGATATTTGTCCATCTTTGAAGCATCTTCATCTTCACCTGGTTTCACAGGGTATACAAGCTTTCCTTCAACAGCTTCCATTATACCATGAACTCGAAACTGTATGACTACTTGAAATTTCCAATCTATCCAATTGGATTGACCCTCCAGTTTATCAACTACATAAACTTTAGAAATTTCCATGGTAGACAAAACACTTGAAGACAACTGAACAAGATTTTTCAAAAAGACAAACAACAACCAATCACAGGTTCTTTCACATATATCCTACTAACAAATCCATAAACACAGTTATTTGCGAGTCTGGGCCACCATAACCTGTTGTAATAAACTGATTTTATTAGTAGGATAAAAGAAATGTAAGAACTGTTAGAGAACCATTTAATAGACTAATAATTTGTTTTCATAACAACTTAAACAAACAAACATTACAATAATAAGAATTCCATATACAGCTGTTACAGGACTGAGTAAATAATTTTTTATCTCAACAACACTCAACCGTGCCGTTGCCTTGGCTGAGGTTTACCGCATCGGCAATGTTGGAAATATCGTCTAAAATAACAACTCGTCTTGTGGATCAAAAATTAAGTTAATTTAATAGTTAAACAGATAGAATGAAAAACTTAGATTTGTGTATACATCTTACTTCATCAAAATATAACAAACAACTAAACTCTGTTACCAAGGAAACATCATATGTTCTTTTCTAACATAACTATTATGGACATCATAATATGAATATCTTTAACACACCCCCGTAATGTCCATAACACATTTTAGAAAAGTAAGTTTTAGTTAAGAGGTCACCATCATAATGAAAGTTTTCATTTTAACAAGTTTCAATGATGATAAGCCCTTTGTTAAAATATCAGCGGTTTGTTCTTCTGTTGGAATGTATCTGACAGTGATCTGTTTCCCAGAGACCAACTGTCGAACATAATGGTATCTCGTCTCAATATGTTTAGAGCGATCGTGGAACATTGGATTGGTCATAAGTTTAATCGCACTTTGATTGTCCACATGTAGTATAGGAATAGACTTTTCTTCAATTGCGCCAACCTCTTTCACAAGACAATCTAACCATACAAGGGATTTACAGGTCTCACTAGCGGCAGCATATTCTGCTTCCATTGAAGATTGGGAAACACACCATTGAATCTTACTCTTCCAAATAGTCTCTTCAAGATTGCCATTCAAAAATGCTGTTTTAACATCAAACTGCTTGATAGTAAGATT